CTACATAAATTTTAATCAAAGTCCGACTCTGAATTCCTCCAGGCACTTCTCCGACTCGAACCCGAGGATATCACAATGATCTTTTGGGACTTGCACTCTATCGTTCACATCCCTACTTCTGACAAGAATCCTATTCGTTTCTACCATGCGTCCCTTCGGGATTTTCTTATGGATCGACATAGGTCGCGTAACCTATACATTAATGAAGTTAAAGCCAACTCCTTCCTTCTCAAAATGTGTATTCAAACCCTCGCCGATTTTCATGGTGGATCCACCCGGGAAAGGACAGCCGTTGCATTGGGGTACAGCAGGGACTATTGGCTAACCCATTACGATTACGGCGATAAAGTGGATCCTGGCGCTTTGGACGAGGTTTTGGAAGAAAACAATCCAGAAACGTGGCTACCATTGAATAATTCGGCCGATGCCACTGCCTTTATGTCGTGGTGCAATGGTTTTATGCCATTGCGGAACCGCTTCCATAACCGAGTGAGTGTACTCATTTACCTGGTTTGACTGATGATGTTCATGCCTTCTGACGGTCGTCGTCTAGTGTTGTTCAGTATGCTCAGCTTTATGTTTTCGATACACGTCGGTTCTTGATCAGTACCTTGTTCACCGATTCCAGAAACATAAACTCCCCGCCGTTACAGCAGCACTAATGTGGTTGACGTTACTCGGTCCAATAGAACGTGCATCATTGCGCTTGGGAGGCCAAGAATTGCCAATAGTACAAGAAGCCGAGTGGTTTTGGGAAGTCCGAACATATATGAACGACAAAGCTCAATTCCTTTGCTATTTCATGCGTTTTCTGTCCAATCATGGGAGATGCGGTAACCTTTTTGTTGGGAGTGCTATTTCGATTACCCACTTTGCCCAGGTCTGCGCACAGAGGGCGTGGAGAGACATTGTGATTTTGGACCACCCGTTTGGTTCGGAAAATTGGAGGTACGTTCATTCCGCAATCCCTAACGCGCTGTTACATAACATACTACATAGGTTGCTCGTTTATTTGTATGACTTGATAAACCTCTTAATTCCCGGTGATACTCCTTATGAAACGAACTCCAAGCTCGCCAATGAAATGATTATTCAGAATATCAAGGTTAGTCCGATTTTTTCAAGCCTTGGTCCACTGAATCGTAACATCTCCAATCGTCGCATGAAGATGTGCATTGACGACCTAATGGACCTTGTGAAATTCGTCGAAGCCACCGCGACTGAGAAAGAATCATTTGAAAGCCAATTGTTGTGCTGGAGAAGTTTCAAAAGGAACGGAGTCATTGCGCCGATTGGTTCCACAATGGTCAGATCTCCCATCGTTTTGAGCGTTGCCTGCATCAAATCCTGCTCTACTGACGTATCCATTTCAGATACACTCTGGGGAACAATTGCTCCCAGACGGAGTTAGGACACCAGGTCGTGTAAAACGCGATGCCTCACAACCTCTCTGCGGACAAGAGGCTCCTTTCGCAGACAACAGAGGGAAACGCAGGAAAATTATCACAATTGACCTCACGGGCTCAGACGATGATGAGGGTGCGCTCTTTGAGTTACCGTGAGCTTTATTTGACCAAATTTCGTAGTCACCGATCACCCACTGGCATGTCGTGATGAAGAGGTGAGCGTAAATGACGGACGTGATGTCGAACATGCAATAGAGATAAGTGATTGATGGGTGACCACTGACATTCAAGGCTCATACTTACTTATGTATCTGTAAGTAGAGCCTGTCGTCCAATTTATTTTATCCGAGTCCTAGGGTTTATTTATTTTACTTACTCGTCCTCCTGTCCTTTCTGGTGTTCAGAGCTGCTTGTAAATATAACCATTGAGTTCTATTCCGTCCGAGCCCGAGTATGTAGACCCTACAAAGAGGACTAAATGATTTTTCTCCTATGCATTCGCCAGTGTCACTAAATCCAACCAGATCCATACAGGATCACGTCCTTTTTCACCAAGATTTGTCGAGCGCCGACTCCACTGGAGTACCCCCCCCCCCCACCATATTTTTTCTGAGCAAGGCCGATCTTTATAATTACTGTTGCTCATTCTGAATCTCAATCATGGGACAAAGGTCATTCATCAATGCATCACATGACGGTCAATTATGAATGTGATTCATGACAACATACTAGTAAAAGCCATCCAAATACAATCATTTGCATTGAAATGGCTACCACTTCACCTCCAAATAAATTGGCACCCAGAGATATTGTGAAAGAGAATGATTTGTCTACATGGGATCTAGCATGGTGAGCTTCAATACCACAGCTTGTTTACTAGTTTAACCCACATTATAATGATATAACATCCAGG